TCTGTGAAACATCTGTGAAAAAAAATCAGGTGCTCAGGCATGAAAATGTGCTGCTCAAATACTATACTTTTCCGCACACACTGAAAAAAAATTAGGGGGAACATTGATCTTGACTGTAATCCAGGCACAGCTGCCATTATGGACAGCTGATGGTCACTGAGCAGCAGGAGAATGGGACAGAAACCGGGAACCCTACTTCAGATTCAGTGTGCTTGCCCCCCCAGCCCCCAAATAATGAAGTTTTAGCCTTCCTTTTCTGGTAATTGCAGGTTTCCATTCCGCCTGTCCTCTGGGAGAATTCTGTAGCTGTTCCTGGAGAGACATCTCTGAGATTCTGCTGCCAGTCCCTGTTCGGAGAAGGCCCCCTGCCAGGCCAGAGGGGATAAGGACTTCTTAGCAGGAAGCCAGTTGGGAGGAGAAAGGAGGGAAGAGGGGTCTGCAGGACAGCCTTCAAGGGCTGTAGATGTGTCAGGATTGTCTACTTAATGTTTCTTCTCCTCATTTATTCTCTCATAAAAAAGGGAACTAAAATTAACAGAGTTGCTGAACCGATCTAATGTGAAAGAGAATTCTATTTACTAAACTGCAACGAGGATGGCCCTTATATGTCCTCTCTGTTTTCAGGATAAACTCACACACCCAGAGCTGTCGGTAGCTGTGGAAATGCTCTCCTCAGTGGCCCTGATCAACCGAGCCCTGGACTCAGGGGACAAGAGCATGGTTTGGAAGCAGCTGAGCAGTTCTGTGATAGGCCTAACCAATGTTGAGGATGAAAACTCCCAGAGGTCAGTTCTGCTGGGTGACCATATTATCACCCCGGAGAGGGTCGCTGTCATGGCTCCTTCACTTAATAACCAAGAAACCAAGGTTTTGCAAGGGGGGGGGATTTTTCGCTCTCACATTCCTCTTGGTAATTCAGCCTGGCCGTTTCATACCAGGGCTGCAATCTACGGGGAGGTCTCCAATTCACACAATGCTGGTAAATCTCTTTGTTTAACCCATCAGTGAAATGGTCTAACAATGCTTCTTCAGACTATCCTCTCATAAAAGCTGACAGCTCCCGAAATTCTTGTACATAATCAGCTACTGGCTGTTTCCCCTGGGTAGGAGTTTTAAACTTAATTCTTGCTCTTCGCTCTGTGAGGGGATCATCAAAACGTTTCCTCAAAGCAGCCATAAACCCATTAAAGTCTCTCAATAGCGGTGAATTAGCATTGTGCAAACCCACCATCCAATCTACCGCTTTTTTTTCCAAAGCCATCATAATCACTCTTACCTTTGCTTCATCAGAAATCAGTTCATCGCCATACATTTGCATGTATTTCCATGCTTGAACAAGGAAGAAATCTAGCTCTTTTGGTTCTCTGTATTTTACACTTAAGGGGGGAACCTTAGCCATCCGGCGTCTGTGGGGCCCCCCTCTTGGAATGTTTCTAGCCACTGTGATCGGGGTCGGTGCTGGGTCATCTTGTTCAACTCTCCCTTCGGCCCCTCCAGTTTCTCTCAGGTCAGCCAAGGTGTATCTTTCCTCTGTCTCTGTCTCAATTTCTCTCTCCATCTCACTTTCATGGGCCCGGCGTCTCTCCCATGCTCCTTCGAAAAGTTTCATCGCTTGGGACATCATAAGGTTCTCCTCAGGATCCCGCCAGTCAGCCGCTGGTTTTCTGGGTCTCCTCATAGTAATCCCAGTCAAAGGTTCTTCAGGGTCCTCTTTCCGTCCCACTCCCCAAGACCACTTGGGTCGAACAGATCATTCCTCCAAGTGCAAGCCAGCCATCCGCTACGTCTCCGAAGGGCATGCAGCTGCTGCCATATCTTCTTCTTGATCAATGCCTT